AGCTGAAAAAAATACCATAAAGTCTTTTTCAGCTGCTCAAGCACCCTGTAAAGCAGTCATTTTCTAATTATTTTGTTCTACCTTTAAGTATACAAAGATTCTCCAGCTACAGAAAGAGCATAAGGAAAAAAAAAAAAAAAGTCTGATGTGGCTTACCAAACGCACATGTCAAAATAACATCCAAACTTTTGCTCTTAACTACAGAGGCGCAACTCTGGAATAACTTAGCAAGGACCCTCCCTACCTGATGCAAGATGAAGTATTTATATGTAGCTCTATGTTTACCTAAGAAGGTATGCCATTCTCATAATTCCTACTGTCTCAATGCTTGTTTGATGTTAATTAATTATCCTCACCTCCTATTGTGAGGCAAGGATGCCCCCATCCCTCTGTAAAATAGGGATGTTATCCTATTTTATAGACAGGGACTTGAGCTACAGAGAGATTAAATCTCATGTGCTAGCTCATACAAAGTCTGCAGCTCACCCAGAATTTAACCGATGTCTTTGAGCCCCTGTTCAGCATCTGAAACAAAGGATGATTCTTCCTAATCTACGCAAATTTGGCAGGTGGGTCTTGACACAGTGAGTGCCATGCCAGCGCTGCCTTTTAACAGAAAACTGGTGTATGTGATAAATATTTGAATTTGAATGCTCTAAGTGCATTGTTCATCTCAGATGATCCAGAACCAAAGTGGATGCGGGTGGCCTCATTTTAGCAGAGCTCAGAGTAAGGTTTTGTTCTAACGCTGTTTCAAACCCTGCCCTGTGCACTGCCAGCGCTGCTCTGTGAGCTCGGGGAGGAGTTGAGACATGGCAATATCCCTTTCTTCTCTCCATCGCTCTCCTTTTAAAGCATAAAGTACTCTCAGTAGCAGTGAAAATGAGCGCCCGTAAACCCTGTCTCATACAGAACGCTTCTTGGCAGAACAATGACCCTGAATATGTGACATGAAATTCTGGCTTATTGAATTCAAGGGCAAAAATTAAGGTTGGGGAAGCTGTGGAG